GAGAGAGAGAGAGAGAGAGAGAGAGAGAGAGAGAGAGAGAGAGAGAGAGAGAGAGTGAGTGAGTTGCAATGAGCTAGGGAACCGTGTGCCCATTTTCACACCATGGGGAATTCGTATTTTTTTTTGCATGAACACAATTGGGAAGTTAGGGAACACAACCCCATTCGTTAGAAAGGAGAGTTTGAGAGGAACGGTGCGGTGCTTGAGCTTTCGTACCAAGGTAGACGGGCAGCGCAAGCAGCTGGCGTCATCAAAAGATGCATCGAGGGCATGATGGAAAGATGCATCCCCCCCACAAGGGCATATCACGCAGAGTCCGGTGAAATGGGACGGAATGTCTAGTAAGGGCAATGCAGAAAGTTGTGCCTCTTACTGACATGGGACTGCAGGAAAATTCAGAGGCCCTCGGGGTACGACATGGTACGTCCGCCGTCCCAGGGGCACGCCGCAAATAAATTGAACTTTCAGGGGCATACTGAAAATTTGACCAAAAAAGGAAATTTTCAATATGCCTCTGAAAGTTTGATTTATTTACGGCATGCCCCTCTTATGGCTGACTTACCCTGTCGCGCCCTTCTGACAATTATTGACGTTATGGAAAACCCTTGGTGTCATTTGTGCTTGAAATATATTCAATATGCCCCTACAGGTAGGTACCAATACCAAATTTTCATTATGCCCCTACCTGAGGGCTATTGATTACCAGCAGGAAGATTTTTCATATGATCCTACAGGTACGGAACATATTTTAAGCAGGGCGCCTCTGTAGTAGGGTGCATCTATGGTGACCACTTCACGTCTCTCTCTCTCTCTCTCACACACACACACACACACACACACACACACACACACACACACACACACACACACACATGTACACACGCACAAGCATACACCCACACACATAGCATACTACAGTTAGGTGTATCTAGACCTTTTACATGACTGATACATTCAAAACGTTCAATCAGAGAAAGTGTATGAGAGCGAGAGAGTGTGTAGAGAGAGGGGCAAAGAGAGGGGAGTTGGCTTGGGGAGGAGCGCACGAAGGAGCAGTGCCCAAAAGGAGTATACGTCGAGTTCTTTTTTGAATGAACACAATCAACAACTTAGGGAACACAACCCCATCCGTTACAAAGGAGAGCTTGAGAGGAACGGCATGATGCTCGAGCTAAAGTACCAAGGTAGACAGGTAGCGTGAGCAGCTGGCGTCATGGAAAGATGCATCCCCCCCACAAGGGCATAGCGCACAGGGTCCGGTGAAATGAGACTGGCTGTCCAGTAAGGGCACCGCAAAAAATCATGGCTCTTCCTGACAGAGGACTGCAGGAAAGTTAAGAGGCCCTAGGAGCACGACAAGGTAAGTCGGCCGTCCCAGGGGCACACCGTAAATAAATTGAACTTTCAGGGGCATACTGGAAAAAAAAGAAAAAGCCAAAAGAACAAAACACCTCAAGGCCGTCGTCCTTCGCCAAAAACAATAAAACGAAAAATCTGTCTCTCCCATTATTGGCTGCAGTACTCATCTAAACCCTCAGCAAGTCGTAGGTCTGTAATCACTGCTAACTAGCAAATCCGGATGTCCAGATGCCCTTCGGTTATCTGGCATTTCCAGCCGGAAGAAGGACACCTGATAAAACTGGAAATACTATTTACGGGGCCTGCGCAAAATATGCATAGGGCTTGGAATTTTTAATATTTTTCAGTGGCCTAGCGGGTTAGAGGGGGGCAGCCCGAACACCCTCCTGCTTTCAGAATTTGTAGGGGGCCTACTGGTCAGGAGGTCGTGGATTCAATCCCGATAAACTAATAGGGAGTAGCATAAACAAAGACGCATTAGTAAAAGAAAGATACAAGTTTCCTGTATGAAAAGGAATCAATGGAGTAATAGCAAATTGTTCTAGTGGACTAAAAACCATTACGATTTTTTTTTTTTTTTTAACGGAGTTTTTGATGATCGATCTCTCAAAGCCAAAGCAATCTAATATACTCTGAAAAAAGCAAAGCCTAGCTACAGAAAGATTAATCACTACAATGATACTTTTTTCTATTTTTTCAAGCATCGCTTCATGTACCTTGTTGCGCATGCTTGGCGCCCACCACCTAGAGATAGACCACTGTTGGCATGGTCCCTGATGCTACCGGCTGTCCTCGGTATCGCCCACCTAGAGATAGACCACTGGATCCCCCGATAGGCATTGAGCACGAGTCTGCTGATGTTCGTAGGGGAGGGGACCACCACCTGAGGGGAGGCACGGGGATTGGTCCTGTTGCCATGGTCGCTGATGCTACTGTCTGTACCCTATCCGGTATCGCCGACCTGCTGGTTGGGGGCTAGGTCCCACTTGCACGAATTAAGAGATCCTGACCGTTGATAGCGAAGATCAGCAGCCGAAATCGCCTAATTTGCGCAAGTGGGACCTTGCCCCCGGATCAGCCCCCGCATGTTCTCTCGAGAACACGATTCTGGCTCCCCGTACGCCTACCATAAGTGGTTGGT